ATAGATACAATGAAACCAAAATAGATATTTCATTATTTAACATTTAATATTTTATGGATCAGTGCTCTCATATGTGAAACTTGGCTTAAACCTAGGCACAATTTTAGAGTAAAAGGTTATAATATTATACGATTAGATTCAGGTAATGATCATAATGGAGTAGCAATACTACTACATAACAAAATTGGATTTCGTGTTATCAATACATTCTCTGATGACTCATTACAAAATATAGCTGTACAAATAAAATACAATGATAAATTATTAACTTTAGTTAGTGTTTACTGTCCCCCTAATTCATCAATTAATTATAATAAATCCAAATTAGATAATAAATCCAAAGTTTGCCACAGACAGTCTTTATAGCTGGTGATTTCAACGCCCATCACACGTTATGGGGATGTATTGAATTAGATTCACGTGGTAGGGACGTTCTTGCAAGTATACATGACAACAATCTTGTAATCTTGAATGATGGTCATATGACTACAGTAGGATCTCATAGATGGAGGCAGAATGCATTAGACTTGACACTTGTTTCATCTTCACTGGCTCTGTCTTGTGAGTGGCAAGTATGTGATGATGATTCTCTAGGCAGCTATAATTTTCCTGTAAAGACAAAAATTACGGTCAATAGTCAAAATTTTCAAGAAACAGCTGTATCAAATAACATAAACTTAAAATTGGTAGATTAGTCAAAATATCCACATTTAATAGATAATTTAATTAAAAATTATAGTTTCGATTATAGTAATTATTTACAATGTTATACAGACTTAATAGAACTAGTTAAACAAGCCATGCATGAATCCACACCATCCAATCAATCTTCTAATCGAAATGTTAACAACAACTTGCAATCTTTTAAAAGAATTTAAAAAAAATTCTCTACATTGGTGGAATTTAAAATGCAAAGAGGCAGCAAAAGATGCATGTTTAGTATTTAAGAATGATCCCACAGAACGAAATTATATTAATTTTAAATGACTACAAGCTGTTAAAAAAATTACTTTGAAGACTGAAAGACAGCTTACCTGGAAAAAACTATGTGCAATTTTTAATAGATCTACTCCATTGACTAGAGTATGGAATTACATTAAAAAGTTTAACAAAACTTATGTTCATAATAACACATCTGTCATAGATTCTAATTAGGCTAATGAATTTTTGAAAAAATATACTCCAGAAACAGATAAAACACCTCTAACCCCTCACTCCTTAAATGATAATCATTGTGATTATCTTAGCAAACCTTTTACCTTCACCGAATTCAATTCAGCTGTTAACTCTAGAAAAGACACTACTTGTGGTTTAGATTCTGTTCCATATAAAGCTTTAAAAAATATGAATACTGCGTGTAGAGAACTGGTTTTGAAAATATATAATATGTTATGGTTTCATTCACGTATTCCTAATGATTGGAAAGAAGATTGTTTGATACCCATTTTAAAGCCCGGAAAAAACCTCACATTGCAGAATCTTACAGACCTATAGCACTTACATCTTGTATGGGTAAAATATTTGAGCAACTTATAAAAAATTTATTAGAATTTTATCTAGAAAAAAAAGTCTTTTACAATCAAATCAGTTTGGATTCAGACGCTGTAAGTCATCTAGAGAAAGTATTGCATTTCTACATTTAGACATCTTTAAAGCTATGGAAAATAATGAAATATTAATTATCTTTGACATTGGAAATATTCTTTGACATTGTTGGTTGTTGGTGCATTTAATAACGTTAATCTTCATGTACTCGCCGCAGAGTTGAGGTCTTTGGCAATTCCTGAAAAAATTGTAAAATGGATATTTAACTTTTTACATGAAAGAAGAGTTTTTGCTAAAGTTAATAATAATAATACAATTATTGGTCCCAGGCTCAGTTATAAAGGTGTTTGTCAAGGAGGAATATTAAGTCCTCTTATCTTTATTTTATACATATTTAAATTAAACAATATTTTAAGATCAAATGTTACTAATTTACAATATGCAGATGATATGGTCATATATGCCTCAGGAACAAATGTCAAAAACTTGGTAACCATTTTAAATGAGGCTTTAAAGAAATTGCACATTTACTTTTCATACTTAAATTTAGATATTAGTACTGAGAAAAGTAAAGTTGTAATATTTAATAAAATTCGTCCATTTAACACTAGAATAATTTATAATACATTTTTACCAATAGAAAGTTGTGCAAAATTCTTAGGTGTAATTTTTACAAATAATTTATCTTGTACCTAATACGTGAATTCTATTACAGACAGAGCTTCTTAGGCGTTTAATGTATTAAAATCTTTGGCTAACTAACTGGAGAGCTGATCCAGAAATATTATTAATGTTATATAAGTCTTTGGTGAACAAATTAGATAATATACAAAATAAGAATTTAAGACTTATTACTGGCTCTATGAGAACAACTCCTATTGTTTCTTTACGGGCTGAATGTCTTACTCCTCCTATCTTACTTAGGTTTATATATCTGAAATTTAGGTTTTTATTAAATATTAATTCTTTGTCTCATCATCCTCTTTTTCAAAAAGTATTATTTTATTATAATCGTATGTCTCCTATATCTAACTAAGCCCCATATATACTCCATGACTTTCATGAAGTGATACGATATGATGAACAATATAATATTCACAAAAGCACACATACTTGGCCTTGTTATAAGCGGAATTATGAAAGTAAATTCAGTCATATACACATAAATATTGATGAAAAATTGAAAAAAAAAAGAATAGGTTTATGAACTCATATCTACATATGATGAATATCGACAAATTTACACAGATGGTTCAAAAGTTGAAAATAAAGTAGCCTGTGCATTTTACATACCTCATCTGAAAACTGGACGTTGCCTTTCCATACCTGCATCAGCAAGCGTATACACTGCAGAATGTTATGCTGTCTTAATCGCTCTTAAATATATAGAAGAACACCCACATGCATATAATAAATGGTTACTGATCTCTGATAGCATGAGTGTCTTGAAGGCACTGAAAGCAAGAGCTTTAGATGCTAAAACGTCTTTCATCATATATGAAATCAAAAGTTTGTGGTGGAAATTGAAAGAAAATAATTTGGAAGTAAAATTTTTATGGACTCCGTCACATATTAGGGTTTAAGGAAATGAAAGAGCAGACCATTTACCATTTAGCTAAAAGTATAGTTACAGCTGATATTGGCAGTATAACCGGTGTTACAATACCACATACAGATTTATATTCAATTTTAAAGCAACAGTTAAAAGAAGAATGGAAAATGCAACGCAATGCTGCTTTAGAGGCAGGAAAAGGTCGTTGGTATGCATCAATTAATTTAGAATTAAGTATTCCTTGGTTTTCTCGCAACGAGAGATATCATAGCAGAAAATTCTATACAATAATGTGCAGACTTAGATTTGGTCACTATCAACTGAACGCTCATCTTTCCAGGATGAGAATAGTAGCATCTGCAACATGCAATTTCTGCGATACAGAAGCAGATCAGACTGCAGAACATATAATATTTAACTGCCCAGCGTACGCCATAGAAAGCAATCTTTCTATGGCGTACGCTGGGCACGCTACTCATTGAAAAACTTATACAAGTTTATGAAAACTCAGAAAGCGTCCCGCGTGCCCTGCAAGATGTTCTTAGGAATACTAAGACATATTTGGCACTTTGCAATTTTATTCATAATACTGTAAAAGAAATATGAAATATGATATCCCTGATTTTGAAAATATTGGATAGACAAATCTACACGGATTGAAGCTTACAAATATTATAATATAAAGAAGACTTGGCTTTAGCCTTTACGGGTTTTTGAAAATATGAAGAATTAAAGAAAATAAGACTTGACTTCGGCCTTTATGGATTTTGAAGAGATGGAAAGAAGAAAAATAAGACTAAGTTTCGGCTTTTACACTTTAAAATTCTATATATTCAAAATAAAAAGACAAGTCTGTATGGCTTAGTTCCTTTGCCTGCTCTCTCGAGCGAATAATAAAAACAACAAAAACTAAATGTCATATCTTGATGTTGGTAGAGGAGCTTGGCGTACTTTCATACATTTTTTTTTGGAGTTTATGGCCTGGTATCTAGACCTTTAGGCCAAGTCTTAAGTATTTTTATTCGGTTTATTGTAATTTCCCCACTCCTTCATAGTATACTGCTTCACAATATGTTGATGCGTCACATTGTGCAGTTCTTGGGAGATTTTGGCGGCAACTTGATCCAGCAGACAGCTGATAGTTGGCGATGGTATCTAAAGGTGCCTATGCAAACAAACAGCTTATCTTGAGAATCCATCACCATCAGAACACTTGTTTCACTGTTTCCACTAATAGTTCACATGCGTAGACACTTAATACACAAAATCGCAACACTTTTACATATCAAAGTCCACTTCAAACCATTATTTAAACAATAATACAGGAGCAGCAAATCGCCGCCGGTCAATTTCCCGCCAAAACTCCGTACTTTCATACATTTGCTTTTATGAAAGGCCCGTCTCTTAAACGTAGTGATTATATTCTCTTTGATTAGCTTGCCTTACGGATGTGACATTGAGTGAAAAAAAAACGATTACTAAAAAATCGATTTTTGCTTAGTGATATTATTCGATTAAGGAAAAATCAATTTTTAAAAATCGTTTATATGAAAAAATAATCGATTAATATAAAAATCGATTATTTTTTCACATCCCTAGCTTGCCTTGCCTTGCTTCATTTTTATTTATATAGTTACTTCGTATATTATATTTGATCATGACGGCGGGGTATTAGTGTTCTGTGACGGCGATTGTCCGGTTGTCGAACCATAGAGTAGAGTAATGCATCATACATGTATTCTGTGAGTAACATATACAGAAATGTCAAACTCAAATGTTCGTTTGATGTATTCAATCATGGTTATAATTGGTAAATAAAGTATCTGATCCACACATCACAAATCTGTGTACTAAATGTACTTTACAGGTTCACGTTTTGTCTTACATATTTTTTTAATTAAAAATGAATAACAATATTTTAAGCGATGAACCTTCCAATAAAAGACGTCGAAAGAATTTGCAAATTACAGGTACTTATGAAAATTAGATTAGTATAATTTGTCTGAAACATTAATAATTAACTATTTTAAGAAGGTTAGTTTAATTTGCTATTAAAGTTAAAAAAGTTACCGTCTATGTTATGGCCTACAGCTGAACACAGTGGGACATAACCTTATTGATAAGAGGGTTATTATAGAACAATTTGTCCGCTTTTCTTTGGCGGTATAAAAATATCCACTACCCATATCCCGTCCTTGTCGTAAGAGGCAACAGAGCATTTGAGCTTTTTGTCTCTGAGCTATTTGGGCTCTCGTTTGTTCATTTTCTCTATTATATTTTAATTTGCTATATCTGACTTGAAAGGCAACTATACTGACTATTAGCTTTTGTTTCATTTACATTTGCTGTGTAGTGCTGGCTTAGGAGTATCCATTAGCACATATCCTTTGGGTGTCATAAGAGGCGATAGGGTGAAACTGAAAAAGGAAATGGGCAGCAGCATATTCCTCATAACAACTCAAAATAATAGAAAACTGCAGTTGCCAAGGCCCTTATGAGATAACCTAGCAGTGGTTTTTTGATGTGCTGTTATAAATGAATTTTGATACCTGTTTTATGTTTATTTATATTTTGGCCGTGTACTAGGTACTGCTGTTAGGCCACATTCAAATGAATGCAGTTCATTAGTTTCATAGTTAGTGTTAGAAAAAATTCCCAAGAGTTTTTAAATTATAAAATTAATGATGCACATTAGTAGTAAATGCAATATATTACCAAAATTAAATGAAGTATGCAAGAAGCCCTTTTACTGGAAACAAGATCCATCTTAGTGCTCACAGGTGACAACTCAATTTGACTTTTAGTCGAGGATAGATATAGATGCCTATAGGCCACAGCAACTACTTACCGTCATGTGGACTGTGTGCTTGTTTGTCACCCCCATCCTTTGAAAAAAAAAGGAAAGCATCTCCATTCCTCATAATGTGACAAGGCAGCCTCTCTGCATCATCACCGTCTTTGCTTGTACTAAAAGAATTATTACAACAGAATAATGACAACTATTAAAACTCATGAAATTACTAATTCTTGAAGGAGTGGGGAGATTTTAAACACTTTTCTTTGCACACTCCTAACACATCATTAGTCACGATATGATCCAGTTTTTATCATGTGCACTGTGACACATTGTTTACCCTATAGATCATATTGTATTCACTAGCTGTAGCTTTTTTATTATGATGGTTTTTGGCAGATGAACCAATATTATTTTTTTACTGATTATGATTGATTATGGTATTAATTGTTTTTTTTGTACTAGACATTGGTCTGCCCGTTGCAAGATGAACTGACATGCACTTGATAGGCAAATTGACGATCACTGTACCAGTCGTTACATACCTTTGATGACGCTCTCCATTGTCGCTTTGATTATTTTATGACTGCCATATTCGAGATAATTATATCTGAATCTATAAAAAGTCATAAGATCTTTCTGCCATATCCTGTAGTCACCTCTCAACCCCACAGCACAAAATGAGTTGATGGATACTCTTACAACGTCATGGTACACTAATAGAATTATTCAGTGATAAAATTTATTAAATAAATATTTTAATATGTTTTTTTTCTTAATTTTACAGAACAGAAAAAAGAAAATGAAGCTGCAATTCACATAACACCAGAAAAGTGTCTTAAAGTACGTAAAAAATATGTTCCAAAGTTTCGATTGAAATCTTCCGGAGATTCTGCATCTTTACTTACACCAGAAGGAGAACGAGTTCCATTGATGCTCACTGATTTGCAGCATCTACTTCTGCACCCTTTATTGGGTAACATAAATCTATCTCAGCCGCCACGCTGGTATGTGTTGGAAAAATGTGATCATATTAGTCAAATTACTTGCATCATATTAGAAGGAATCTCTATTCAGCAATGGGAGAAATATCAGGAAAAAATGTTACATGCTCAAAAAATATTTAGTCATTATATTGAAATTCTTACACCCTCTGTTTATAACGGTTCCCTTGTAAAGGAATTGGCATTAGTACCTCTGTCTGAAACTGATAAAGAGGTAATCATACAGAAATATGGTAGCATGAATTTAGCTCTTGAAGCCAGGAAAGATTTGATGGTTATGATGAAAGCTGTATTTCCAATTGGAGACACTGTTTCTGAAAAAGTGAATAATATATGTGAAGATGCATTTCCTAGAACACAACTTATGTTATCAGCTTGGCAATTAATAGAAGAAAATTACCCAGTTCCTCTCAAGGGGAAGTTGAAGGAACTTTATGCAGACTATGTTATGTCTAAAGACCAATATAAACCAGTGACACCTAAATCTCCAATGTTTGGATTGGATTGTGAAATGTGTTTGACAAGTGCAGGTTCAGAGCTAACTCGGGTGTCAATAGTCAATGAAAAACATGAAAATATTTATGAATCTTTTGTTAAACCTTATAATAATATAACAGATTATTTAACAAAGTTCTCTGGAATTACAAAATCAATATTGTCAGATGTGACAAAAAGACTAGAAGACGTTCAAAAAGAAATTCGTGATTTATTACCTCCAGATGCCATTTTAGTAGGTCAGTCACTCAATACAGATTTACATGCATTAAAAATGATGCACCCTTATGTAATAGACACAAGCTTAATATTTAATTTCACTGGCGAAAGAACTCGTAAACCTAAACTTAAAGTATTAGCTAAAGAATTTCTTAATGAAGATATTCAGTCAGGTAAGAATGGTCACTGTTCTGTAGAAGACTCATTGGCTTCTTTAAAACTAGTGCAGCTAAAATTAAAAAAGAGTATGGATTTCGGTGATGCAGTACACACTAATAGAAAACAATATAAAGAAAACTTTACAAAAATCGTTCAGAAGCAAGAATACGCATTATCGATTTTTAATCATATAATAGAACAAAAGAAAACCTCCATTGTTATTGGCTGTGATAATATAACAGGAGATTACCACACATATTTAACCCAGGCAAAAGAGAGTTTGAATTCTCAGCTGAAAAAAGGTAAACTGAAAAAGGTTAAGTTATGTACTGTTGATAGCATTGAAGAAGTTATTTCTAAACTTTCAGAAGCTGTTAGTGATTATAATCTAGCTATGGCACACTTAAAACTAGAAAGTAACAGTGACAATGAGTTAAAACATATGGAAACTATTGATCAGTGGATTGAACGAATTTGGAAAAGTATGAAGCAGTTAGGATTGTTTGTTATATTGTTTGGCGGGACCACAGATAATAATGGTATTGCAATGATAAAAGTAAAGGATGCTACTTAATTGTATACTTGAGTATTATTATATAATTCATAAGCGTTGCTCAGACACTGTTATAACCTCAATTTCCTATAACATAAATGAACTATCAATGTCAAAGATCTTTGTCTTTGACAAAGATCTTTCAAAAACAAATTTCTGTAAAAACCACGCTTGGCTGGCAGATTGTTAAGTAGTAGTGAGTATTAATTGCAGCCTGTAAAGCTATTATCCGCCAATGATAGTATGCGTACTTAGACGATTTAAAAAAAGGGGGAGGTTCTCTGGCTGTACTTCTTTGTTTGTATGATTGTTACGTGATATCTTTAGTCACTGGTGAATTGATTTTGATGTTCTTTTTTAACCCCCAACGAAAAAGAGGGATGTTATATGATTAACGTCTGTGGCATCCTAGCTCCCAAATGGACGAGCCAATGAGGGCTAATAATATTCCGATCACCAGATGTCGCTAGTTGACACTGAGGTAAAGGTTTTTTTGTTACACAATATTTAATTGAGAAAGTAGTTTTTAATAAAGGTTACTCAGTCTCTAGAGGATTATATTAATACACAAAACAATGTCTCAGTGGTTTGCCCTGTAATTTTTTCCACATTTTAACATTTTTTATAATTTTCCATTTTTTGAACATGTGTTATTTTGTTTATTTATTTTTAATCTTAATTGTTTAGGCCTAACCTAAAACACTTAAAACTTGCATTCAATACGCGCGTCTCGGCGTGTCCTTCCGATGGCATTTAAGGTCACCGCCGGCCCCCGCTCCCGCGCGCGTCTCCCCGCTGACGCTCCGTCGCCCGACGTCTGGAACTCTGGAAGTTACTATTAAATTCAATTGTCCGCGACCGTCTCCTTGCGTTGCCTGATTTCGTGCGTTTTACGTGACAACGAGACTACGTTGAATTTTGTGTGATTAATTTAACTTCGATTGCCATTAATTTGCGTCGACGAGTTGCTTGTGTGGTATTTTAATATCGTACGAAGGAATTTTTGGTTTGTCGGGTGGAACGCTAAAACTTTGTGACCCGAGAGAAGGTCGCGCTCGTATTCTATTATAATTTTGTGCTAAGTAACGTTAGACTTGAGTTCAGATAAAAGTGAACGCCCATTGGAGTGATCGAAGTTGTGGAGCCGAGCAGCGCATGTGGGCTGCTGACCGATTACATCGGTGACGTCAGGTTACACTTACACACTACTACATTTACACTTACATACCACCTACTTGCCCCTGACGGTACCTTGTGGTCGACCCTACCTCCGGAACTCGGTAAGTTCATGTTTGTTGATCCAGCCATTATAATAATTATCCATAGGCCATTCGGGCCCGAACCCTCGGTTGCCCGTCGAAGGTGTTACTCATGGGCCCTAATACAGTCGACTTCTGTCTGGGCAACTGAGAGCCGTAACATTAATAATATATAATATAGTTAATAATACAGAAAGAAACATTAAATTTGACATTATTCGAACAAATTAACTTCTCCGCTATGAAATCAATCAAATATTATACCTCACTTTTAAGTGGCGCCGCCCTGTTTGCAGAAAAAGTCGTGGATGTAGTCGTCGTCATTTGGATGTAGTATTCTTTTTTTGAAATGTGAATTGATCGAGAGTGTTCTTAGCTATGATGTAAGAAAATCTCTTTAACTGTTTGAATATCATCAGCTTTTTTTATTTCGGGGATTTTTAAAGATTTTTTCATAAAACTGTATTGTGTTTCTAACAAAATATAAGAAATACTAGTATTTTATAAGGGTTCCGTAGTTACACAAGGAACTATATAGTTTCGCCACGTCCCACACGGCATTTGGTGCGAATTAGGTGGACAAAAATATTACTTTTATTTTTTTTGTGTCTTTTGTATTTTTACTAATAGAATATGATATAATAACTATAGTATACGAGCTTTCAATATAGTTCATAAACTAAATCTGCGATTTGAACTAAATTAATTATTTAAAAAATTAAACAGTTACAAGCTTTATTTATAAAAAAATATATTTCAAGAAATCATCATCGGAATTTATTCTTCATCACTACTGGATGGTTCGTCAATGCTGTTGTAACACTGATGCGGGCTTGGATATTTTAATAATGCAATAACTTCCTTCTTAAATAGTTTTGTTGACTTACGAGGTGGTTTTCTGCAAGAACTAACTACGGGATCAGATGATATCAGTAAATGATTAATAATATCCCTGTTTGTGTTTTCTCTAGAAGTCTTTCTTGTATGCTGAAGCCGTATATTCTTCCAGTCCTTTTGTCGTGACTCTTGAACATCTTCAGAGAGCTGACCAATTGGTAATTTCATTCTTTCAATTATGTTGGGACTGTGTATCAACACTTTGTGTACAGTGACGCTCATAGTGTACCAACTGTATAAAAATAAAATAAAATAAATAAATAAGCCTTTTATTTCATGCTAAAAATGAGATACATGCTTAGTTTATAGATTAACGAAAAAAGTAAAAAGAAAAAAAAAATGTTTAAATCTGGATAATAATATATAAGTTTGTTTGCATGAACCCCTCCTCAAGTGAAGGTGAAGGCCTCCTCTAAAGAATTCCATGTGTCTCTATCTTGAGCTATTTGCGGCCAGCAGATACCAGCTGTTCTTATCAAATCGTCTGCCCATCTCGTGTGAGGTCTGCCTTTGAGACGTTTGCCGATTGGACCCTTCCACGTTGTTACCCTGGTGGTCCATCTCACCACCAGATGACTTCACCAGAAGCAGATACTAATTCTCAAGCCCTAGTTGGTAGTACAAGACCCATCAAGAAAAACAAAATAATACAATCAAATTATAATGCTGTAAAACATTTTCTTTTATTTCTTTCTCCAAAATGAATTTAATAGGTCTACAGTAACGAGTGGTAGATGTTTGATTTTTCCGGTAAATTACTCTATTTTGTGAATTATCGGTACTTGTAGGGACTGATGACATCTCAAGTGGAACCAAGTTAGAAAAAACAATATTAGAGTCTGCATATAGAATGTCTGAATCCGAAAAAATTTGATTATAAATGCTGTGTCCTCCACTTCCATCTATACCCCACTTGTATAGCAAATTGATTTCATTTGTTTCTGCAGGAATCCGTTCAATTACCTCCTTTTGGGTCAATATTAATCTTCTTGATGTATAATCTAAAAGACTTTGTAAGTTAATTTTACACTCGGTCTCGGTTACAGTAATAGAATCTTCATCAGGGTAGCATAGTTTTTTTTCTTGGGCTATTGACGAGTAAGACGCGTAGAGATTTACACCTCTCTCTTTAGCACCCCTTTGCATAGTAATATAATTCTCTTTACTTTAATTCATATGAAGCATTAGCGCCAAGGACTCGGTTGACGTATATTGCTTAATTCGTTCTATTGATGGAGCTACAATTGCTGTTTTAATTCGTTTTAGGCTTTTAGGTGAGACGTTTGCCGCAAGCTTTTTCCCAATAATCGTAAAGACTTCACAGCTGCATATGTTAATTTCTCCGTGCTTGTTGATGCAATTGCGGAATGAACAGATGAATCTCTACTTTTAGTTTTTTCCGAACTCTGGGAGAGCAATTTTTTCGGCCTTCCACTTTATTTTCAATTTTAATTTCATATTCGTATCGAAGTCAGTCTCCGTATTTTGTAACAAACCTATTTTCAACACGTTTGCTTGCATTCCACCTCACCTATAAATTTTTAACAAAAACAGTCATAATGTTTTGCAAAATAGTCATTGCTGGTATCGACTTCACTTACATTAAATTTATTTTTTACATAATTAATCAAGTGTTCTACACACTGTGATGGAGATCCAAGAGAAATAGTGTTTGTCCGTAACACAGAAAATAATGTATTACGTGACACTTTCACTATGCGGTTTGTTTGCACTTCTCGACTACCTGCAAAAAACTAGTTGAAATGAGAAAAGAGAAAAAAGTAGCAGTTAAAACCCGCATTATTTGAAAGACTAAGAACATGAGTACATAATACAATAACACATAACACCGTTAATGGGCTGGGATAGTCCTGTATACTTTTTTACTAATGTTATTTATTATATATCGAAAATAAATATCATACTTTTTTTATTGTAAACAAAAAATAAGGTGTAAGCTAATTTTAATCACTTGTTTTGAATAAGCATACCGAAAGGTAAGTCGCTCATAGTAGGTAGCTTTTTATGTAACACGCTAGCACTTAGAAAAAAAAACCGGTTAACTGCGAACATCTGCGCGAGACGCGTGCAAACGATCGACTAATAATACGTGTTGGAACATGTCTCGGCCGGTGAATTAGACGCGCGCGGGGATTGGTCGAGTATAACTACATGCGTTGAAATCTTTACAACTACGACGTTTACTTAATAGTTCTAATTGAGTAGCTTTAAAAATATTTTTGTCCATCTATTTTCTATGAAAATGCCGTGTGTGCTTCCGTCCGCGGTTTTGCTCAGAGACCCTAGTTGCTACAAATATGTAATTTGGCATAGCTATAGATATTATATTGCCTAAAAAACTATGAAATAAAGTCTTAAAAAACATTTTTATTATAGTTACTTCCCATACAAGTAAATGGAGGATGATTTTATACCCGTCTATTCCATCATGTGGGGTATCGTTGGATAGGTGTTTCAAAAACACTGAGAGTGTGGAACAACATCTTTTCGATTTAGGGGTCCGTTTGCGAAATATTGGTATTTTTCATTGGGGTCATGTGTGCCCCCCCCCCCCCCGTCTACCAACTAATCCGCTGTTTGGAAATGTGAAAAGTATACACGATAGTGGCATATATAATGAAGTTTTTAACAGTGGTAGAGCCACGCGGCAGCTTTTGCTGCCGCACGGATGGGCCGGCTCGAACCGGGGTGGTACCACGACCTCGCAGAATACCAGCGTGAAGTAGAGGTTTACCTCTGCGTTTCGCTTGGTGAGTGCAGGTGGCCGGAGGCCCTTTTTACTGGAAATGAGGCATTCCATCTTAGTCCTCACGGGTGGCAACGCATCTGCATTTTGATTCGTAAACGAGGATAGATGTAGATGTCTATGGGCCGCAGCAAACACTCACCATCAGGTGGACTGTGTGCTCGTTTGTCACCCTTATCCTATAAAAAAAAGTTAAAAGGAAAACTATCTACACTAAACTATAGTAATAGTCAACCAACTTATAAAATACACTTGGATTAGTAAAACGATCTAGATTTTGAAATAAAGTTTAGGAATCACTTACAGGAGACAAAGTAGAATGGAGAGGAAAAAAGAGGACTCATCAGTAAGAAATTTCTTAACAACTCCATAAAAAATGACCTAAAGCTAGCTGCATTATAGCTTTTTTGTTATAAACTGTTAAAAATAGAAAAAAGAAAACGTTTATTACTACTATAGCTTTACTTTTTAATTTACAGCAGTTAGTATTTAGGCACTAGGTTAGTGGTTAGACAGGGAGGATCTTTCTTTCTTACTACTTTCACTTATTTTTTAGTTGGTAGGTAAGGTACGTAGGGTAAGATCGGTGATGGGGCAAGACCGTAGGATTCAAATTCCCGGCGAATTATGCTATATTTTGAAAAGCTAACAATATGCTACACGACGCCATTTCATCCTGCCCCGACCCTCAGTTCGCGCCAGTCACTCCGGCAAGTGGGACCTGTGCTGCGTGGCATTTTATAAAACAATGTAATTTTTGTATTATTTTTGTCCATCCGATCTTTCCCTATCACTTTTATTTACGATTTTTAGCGAGAATATGGCTTCTTTTGTTATTATTTTGTGTGGATACTAATTTTTATGAAGTTCTAGCTAAATAAAGCTGGCCCATGCAGGGGTAAGATCGCTGTAGGCCGAGATCCGATGTTTCCCCGCGTGAGTGAAGATCGGATGAATATTATCCGATCTTTGCCTGTTACAAATATGGCAGTGGTTGTTAAACTTTCATTGGTCGTGTATATTTTTTCGTTGGGACTCAGTCTCGTTAGCAAGTCTGTATATTTAAAAGTAATAAAACAATACGATGGTTTTATTACTTTTAAGTACACATTAAAATACATTTTTTTATAGGATAAGGGTGACAAAGGAGCACACAGTCCACCTGATGTTAAGTGATTGCTGCGGCCCATAGACATCTATATCTATCCTCTATTACAAATCAAAATGTAATTTATAATAATTATTTAAAAAATAATTTATAATAATAAATGCCGCTTTGTTAAATTATTTATATCTTCCTTAACTCCTGCATTATCCCAGGGCATTTTGCCAGTCCTTACTGTTATTTTTTTTCCCATATAAAATCAAATGCATCCGATCTTTCTCTTATATTGAGTAATTCCATCTTATGTCATAACAAAGTTTGAGAAACATAAAATTACAATTTCTTTATATCAGGGATAAGATCGGATGGCAAGAAACAAAAAAAGAGAAAATCGTTTGGAACATTTATGTTTGTAGTAATTTATAGATCATATTGAAATATGTTTTAGAGCGTTAAATATAGAACAAATCTCTTTTATAAACTTTTTTCTCTAAGCAGTAGAAGTGGTTTTAAATTTAAGTCCGGTCTTACCCCTTAATGGCCAATTTTTCATTATGCATATAAAAAAGTATGTCTAGTTTTCGCACACCTTTAAAGCAGAAACCGTTGAGTTTACACAAGCAAAAGATTCTCAGAGCTAAACTACGTTTAACGATTAACGGTTTGCTCCAAGTTCCATAAATCTGACGTATACGAATGTCGAGAAATTAAAGTTTTTGGCAGACTCTTCCAACTTTTCGAAAATCCGTCCGGTATTACCCCAACGTACCTTAGTTATTGTAGGCCTCATTCATAGTATTCATTCAATCATATAGCCTCATACAGTTTCGTTCGTCACATTCTTGGTTTACGGGGGTGACCTCAGGATAATTTAAGGCAGTGGTGGTTAACGTGAAGGATCGTTACGGTCATATATGTATATTGTATATCTTAGAGTTGCACTGCCGGGAATATAATATAGATAGATAGTCAACTATGATCATCTTTGTACATCTTTGTTGAATACCACTACCTATAAGTCTGATTTAAAAATAAGTCCTTCAGTTACGATTTTCCTATTTGGGCCCATTCTTAGTCGTTATAGCGGTCAAACCGCGAACTCACTTATTATGCTCATTATCAAGAAAGCCCGCGTATTGTGACGGCCAACTACGGAACCCTACATCTACATTGTGCGTGCGTGCCCGACACGCACTTGGCCAGTTTTTGAAAGTATGAGGTTGAAAAAAAAAGACAGAGGTTTTCGATATCAACATTATTAGTTTATTTGCTGACTGTGTAAATTTGTCCAGTAATCGGGTCAACGGTCAAAGTAGGTGGCAATTCTGCAGCCATATCAGCTAGCGCTTCCCATCGAGTAGCACGACTACATTCGGACTGACTTGGACTAGCTGAATCCTGGGGTTCTTCTTCTCTGTAAAATTTAAAGTACAGCCTTTATTTTTACAATTTGGCCAAGTCCCCTCACTTCTGAGACGGTTATAAATGTAAATTGAAGCAATTAGTTCGCCGCGTTGCTCCAGGGCGTGTCTGTGGACTTTTTTTTATAGGATAGGGTGACAAACGTGCACAGTCTACCAGATATCAAGTGGCTGCCGTGACCCATAGACATCTACATTTATCCTCAATAAAGTATCAAAATGCAGATGCGTCGTCACCTGTGAAGACTAAGATGGAATGTCTCTTTTCCAGTAAAATTGGTATCCGGTTCTCTACACTCACCATACGAAACATAGCAGTGTCAAGCTGTCATTTTACGCTGGTATTCTGTAAGAGCGTGGTCCTTCCCCGGTGGAGCCGACCCATTCGTGCTACAACTATACTACTAATATAGCTGCAGCATGGCTCTACCACGCATAAAAGTACTTCACGTATAAAAGGACTTCAGAAGACTTACAAATATTTTATTCGTCAGACTTAGATATGCAGATTTTCTTACGATGTTTCCTTCATCGTATGTTTTTCTTCCCTGTGATAATTAGTAATGTCATCTAAATAAAAATAATAATTTTATTTAAATTTGTATTTTCGACACACGGCAGATTAAATGTCGACTGCGCCCTAAGTTAGCACCTCTTCGGCACCCCTCTAGCAGCCATTTATTATATATTATAGCTACTTACTCATTTTGCAAACAAACTATATAATAATCTATAGTATAGTTTAATAGTTGCTTAATAATTAGGACACGAGTACCCTTAATAGGTAGGCGGGAATGAAAAATATGATGAGTGAGGGCGATGAAGGGGTAATTAAATAGACGACTTTTTTTTTCGTTCAAAAATGTCCGCGCGTGTCTCTTTTTACCCTTGCGCCTTTAGGCTCATGCCTAGTTTGCCTTAAGGATAATCCGCCACTGTATTTACACGAACCATTTCAAGTTACTTTCTAATCTCCCATATCAAAGGAATACAATATCTTCGTTTTACCCCCATAACTCAGATCTAACACAACAAACTATAAGACATCAAAATTACCAAGTGTGTAAGAAATACAAAGGATGTCTAACCCCAGATGTGAAACCCCTTGAACATCTCGAAAATTTTCATTTTTAACCGTGCGAACCAAGATGGAATGCCTCCTTTCCAGTAAAAAGGCTCTCCGGTTTTCTACACAGCTATTTTACGCTGGTATTCTATGAGAGCGTAGTCCTTCCCCGGTCGAGCCGACCCCTTCGTGCTACAATTATACTACTAATATAGCTGCAGGCTCATGGCTCTACCACGTATAAAGATCTTGCACTGCTGGCCGTATGAGGAAGCTCAAGGTCGCACAGAGAGCTATAAAGAGGACTATGAGTAGTGTAGTTGTACCACTTCTAGACCACCTGAGTCAGTCAGTCAGTCCTAAAAAAAAAAAAAAAAAAAAAAAGGTTTTGGCATGCTCTGATCACGAATCCGCGGTCCATTTTTGTGTAGAATGCACGGTTCCGGAGATGTGTAGATCAATTAGCTAATATCTACTTGATATCCGGTAAGGGCCTCCACCGTCATTAGCGTCCCATTGTTCCTATTTCTATTGTTCTATTGTTCATTAATCACCTTCATTGCAGTGTGTGCGTCGACTATATCAGTGCTATTGTATTGTACTTCTTTGTTCCTAATTATACAACGCTAATCTGAATCATCAATAAAACACATTACATAATTTTGTTACAATTTTTATTTATAAAATACAAAATCTTATTACTTATTATCTATAAAATAGGAGCGAAACATCTCATCCACTAAAATATCGTTGTACAATGTGTTCCTTGTAAATATACTCGTAAAACTATGTATTGAACATCCTTGAAACTTATATAGCAAATACATTAAGCAATATTCGCCACAAACTGAAGTCCACTCATTCTGAATCCTATCAACATTCCAGTTCCATCTTTTACAATTCCTTTTTAAAAACTCTAGATGATATCGTACAGGTGATCGTCCATATGAATCAAAATATTGACCGACGTCATTCGTATCGATATATAAAGCTACCCAATGTGACCCTGGTTTATCATCTGTATCCAAATTACATATTATATACGTTGGTACGTGGGTATACATAGGCAGTCTATTAGCTGCATAAACATTATTTTCTAGACTGGGGTGAATCTTTTTCAGATGTTGTTGTACATCTAGTGTATCCATGATATTACTGCTATTAGTACATTATTACAGTACCAATCTACTCAATGAATAACATAGGAATGGTCAATTATAGTGATTTCTAAATATTAAATTGCATTTTTGTGTTATACAAATCGTACTTGAGTCATTGATCACCAAACAAAACACAATACGAAGAAATGTTGAGATAGACAACGGAAATGTGAGATAAACTGGTTGACGCATAAAGTAATTATCAACTCATTACGGAAATACTTTAGATTAGAATTTTTACGTACTGGTGGTATATAAGACCAACAGACGCAGTCATCGAGTTAGTGTACGGTCGTTTGACTACAGTGGATCTATCAATAGTACATTTGTGTTACTTCAATACACCAAAGGCTATGGATGTAAGTGTTTATTCTATTGACTAAATTACTTTTTTTCTGTTATTTTCATGTGTGTGTATTATTTTATTTAAATATTGTGTATGTATATGATTAAGCCGTGGTAACTCAGATGGTTAGCGCTAGCTGTAAATTTCACAGTACACGACCCGGGTTCGATCCCCGCCAGCACCAATTAAATTGTTAACCGCAATTTTAAGTGCTTATTACCACGTGCTTGGTGGTGAAGGAAAACATCGTGAGGAAACCTGCATGTCTGAGAAAATTTCGAAGGCATGTGAAGTTCGCCAACACACATTGAGGGAGCGCGGCGGACATTTCCTTGCTCTAAAACCCTCTCAGAAATGAGAGGAGGCCTATGTTCAGCAGTGGACTTTAATAGGCTGTAACTTTAACTTTTTTAACGTTTATGATTAAGTGTTAACAAATTGATATTAACATGATAACTGTGTTGTTGCAGAAATCATTGAGCTTCGATGAAGATACCTATAAACAGTATTACTACTCGCCACTCTCCCCTCAAGAAGAGAGTGATAACCTCGTCATTAATAATAACACATGCGATGGTGGAAAAAGAAAATCGCAATCGATTGATCATTTTTTTGAAGCTGAATCAAAAATAAAAAAGAGGAAGGGAAAACTTCAGTGAAGTGTGCACCAGTGCTTTTTTCTCCACAATCATGGAAGAGAATACGGAACTATTCAATAGCGAATTAAATCAGGAGTTGTCTAAAGTTTGTGAAGAAATGGAGAGGGGTCAACTGTTCGATTCGTCATACGATGATGAGTTGTATCATCACTGTGCGATGGTTGAAACACAGTTTAAGTATGTAAAATAAACATTCATTTCGATCATAATTTACATATTGTCTTATACAGTTTTTAATAAATTTAAACATTTTAGCAGTCAACCACTACAACTTGGAAGAGGAACGAAGCGAACGTGCAGCAAAGAATCCAAGATCATCAAAGAACCAACAACGGAAGCAGAAGCGCATACCTCTGCAGGGAACAGTATCAGTAACGATGATCAAGTGGAATGTCCAACGTGCCATATATTTATCAAGAAACGGTATTAAGCTAATCATTTTAAAAGTAATGTTCATAAAAATAATCTTTTAAATTCACATAATTCTTTATCAAACGTTAGTGTTATTGAATCTGCTTTTGGAAATAGGATTTTAACTTATAAAATCAAGAGTAGAGTAGATCGTTCGACATGGGTAAATTTTGAAACTCCTGAACTATTTTTAAATTCTATTAAAGATGATATTTTATTTTTATTACAAGAGTGTATTCATCAACACATAATTTTTAAGGTAAACTTCATATTGCATGCTGATTTTGTTCAACAAACTAAAGATATTCATGATACGTTCGATTTTCAAACGCTTAACTATATTATTTGTCAAGGAGATGACTTAAATATTTTTCTTTCATCTTTAAATGATACAATTACTACTAAAATTAGTGCTTTCGAAAAAAAAGATAGTGGATGGAGTCTAAAAAACATAAAATCTATAGACATGAATGTTAATAAATTTAACCCCCTACGCGGTACTTCATACATAGATCTTCCTCGTGACATAAAATTAAAAAAGGCTGTTATAAATGTAAAAAACAAGGATTATTTTTGTTTTAAATGGGCGTTACTCTCGGCGTTATATCCTGTAAACAAACACACCGATCGGGTATCATCGTACGTTAAACATGCAAATAAACTTAAATTTGATGGTATTTCCTTTCCGGTTAAAATTTCTGACATAGCAAAAGTAGAGAAATTAAATGATATTAGTATTAATGTTTTTGGGTTAGAATATAATAAAGAAAAACGATGTAATTCTATAGTAGGTCCATTATTTTTAACAAAGTGTCGTAAAGATAGACATATCAATTTATTATTTTTTTCCAAGGATACAAAAAATCATTATTGCTATATAAAAAATTTATCGCGGTTAGTTAGTAAACAAATTTCAAAAGACGGTCACATCATGTACATTTGTGAAGCATGTCTACTTCGTTTTCCATCTCAGGAAAGGTTAAATAACCATGAACAATACGATTGTGCCCACATTTGTACAGTATTACCAAACAGTGAAACTTTAAAAAAAAAAGAATTGGTTTGGTCAACCTATTTCAAATGATAAAATTAAATTTGATAGTTATGAAAAAAAGTTAAAGATACCATTCGTAGTTTATGCTGATTTTGAAGCATTTTTAAAACCAATAGAATCATGTTCTAACGATCCTTCCAAACCTTTCACTCGTAATATTCAGAAACATGAAGTACATAGTTTTGGATATTATATAAAATGTTCATATGATGATAAATTATCAAAATATGTAACATATTGCGGACCCAACTGTGCACAAGTGTTTATGGAAAGTTTATCTAACAATCTAAAAGAAATAAATAGACTTCAAAAATATCCACCACTTCCGCTAACAAATGAAGACAAAAACCAAATTTCAAATGCAACCATTTGTCATATTTGTGAAACTGAGTTGGCAAAACATTTTTATGATTTTGATTGGTACACTGGTAGTTTTATAGGTGTTGCTCATGAATCATGTTGTTCGAAGATCAGAACACCTCGTTATATACCAATATTTTTACACAACCTTAGTCACTATGATGCTCATTTTATTGTTCACGCGTTAAACTTTTGTGATGGTGAAGTCGAAGTTATCCCTCAAAATAAAGAAAAATATATATCCTTTTCCAAAAAATTAAAAGTGAATAACCACGAAATTATATTGAGATTCTTAGATTCATTTAAGTTTTTATCGTGTAAATTAGAAGAATTGGCCAAAAATCTCAGTAATGATCAATTTCAAGAATTACGTAGAAATTACCCTAATGATGAAGATTTCTTTCGTTTAAAACGGAAAGGTGTTTATCCATATGAACTTATGACTAATTATGATAGTTTAAGTCTAACATCGCTCCCTGAACAAAAATGTTTTTATAGTTCACTCACAGATTCACATATTTCAAATGATGATTACAATCATGCTAAAGATGTTTGGGAACATTTTGGGTGTTGTAATATGCTAGATTATTCAAACCTGTATTTAAAAACAGACGTTTTACTTTTATCCGATGTATTTGAAAACTTTAGAAAGTTATGTATTAATACATATGATTTAGACCCTGTCCATTATTACACAGCACCCGGTTTAAGTTGGGATGCAATGTTAAAATATACAAAAATAGAATTAGAACTTTTAACAGATTATGAGAAAATTGCATTTATTAGATCAGGTATCAGAGGTGGTGTATCTCAATGTAGTAATCGTTATGCTAGAGCTAATAACAAATACATGGAGGATTATGATACAGGGAAACCAAATTCATATATCACATATTTTGATGCCAACAATTTATATGGTTGGGCTATGTCTCAATATCTTCCTACTGGTGGATTCGAA